CCTTCTAATGTGTAATTCTATTCCTAACACTTGTGATAATAGTATGTACTTCTGCAGTTATTATTTGTGCATTTGCAAATCTAACAGTATGCTTTATTTAAGTGAAGATACTGAAGCCCTAGAACTTCTGAGACTGGAATGTAATAATTATATATTAACTTTTAGGAGTCAGATATCCTAAATTATACAATGGAGAAAGAGAGTATATTCCTCTTTCTCCATTGTGTATTATATAATTAGTTACATGATTTTAAATGGAACTCCTTCTGTATCTGATTATGGTCTATTTCATGGTTTCCAAAAATTCTAAATGGTAATGTATACATACACAGCTTGAATAATAGATTAATATTATCTATTGTAAACAATGAAAGCTAAATTATATATTATTGTATGTCCATATCCTTTAACATTTCATAGATGAAAATAAACACATCTGTGTTCAATAAGTCTTACTCCCAGGTTAGTGATTACAGCTTAAAATAGATTAGAATCCTATAAAATCCTATAAAAATGCACTATAAAAGTTGTATTGCCTTCTTACTTTTTGACAGCAGTGCACAAACTGGTATGGGGAGAATGGTGAAAAATTATTAAAGAAGATTCCATGGAGAAGACTGGAACAATTTTATTTATGTTTTCTGATTAAAGGAAAGAAAAGTGGTCCACCATCCCCATGATTAGGATACTGTGCTATGGACTCCCCCTCTCCCATGTCATGTTCTAAGCAGCCATCTCACATACACAAGTCCTGTGTAGCAGGAAGACATGAAAAATAATCTCTTAACTTCAACTGGGTAGGTTGATTTGAAGAGGTGCTAACGGAGGGGCTCATGCTACACTGCTGACATGAAGAACTCCACCAGGGCCGGATCTTATTGGTGGGCTGCCCTCTCTCCCTGTTAAATTTCAAAAAAAAAAAAAAATCAACCACCTGGTTACCAAAACTGCCAATTAAGGATCTTAGAATTGTAGCGTTCTCCTCTAAAGTTTCAGTATCACCTTATCTAAGCTCATACACCTACAATTGATGCAATGCTCAGATCTGGAAAAAATGATACTTACTCTATAGTACAATCCTATTCATATTTACTCAGATAAATTTTGTTTGTGTTCAACGATTGTTATTCTCTCCCCAGTCTGACCATGTTCATTTTCATATAAAGGCACTGAACTGAACCAAATATCCTTAACTGGAATGTAGTGGAATCCTAGAAAATTATATTTGGACACTGTGACATCTAAATAATCATAACCAGACGATGGTCTGAAGACACAGGTTGCATCAACCCTGCTGAAGTGAAACTCTTCTGCATCTGGTCAGTGTTTAAATGAAAGACTGCCTATGTACATAACATGGATACTTATCAATGAAAAACGAGATTGTCATTAATGATATTTCTATGATACCCTATGATCAGAGGTCTCTGGGCATCTTACAATAAAATGTTAAAATAAAACTCAACTATAAAAATACAACAAAATCAAGCAACAGAGAATAAATAAATCAAATCAATAACAGCAAAAATTTACAGCCCACAGAAGCAGAAACAGTAAAAAGCCATTGTGTATTGTGTTTTTCATATTTGGTTGGGAGCTGCCCATTGTATTGTGTTTTTCATATTTGGTTGGGAGCTGTTTTTAGACTTCTGTTTCAGTGTATCTGAAGAAGTGTGCACGCACACGAAAGCTCATACCAATAACAAACTTAGTTGGTCTCTAAGGAGCTACTGGAAGGAATTTTTTTATTTTGTTTCGACTACGGCAGACCAACACGGCTACCAACCTGTAACTAGAACTGTTGTTGGACTTCAACTCCCATCAGGCCTAGATAGCAGTGTCAATGGGAGTTGGAGTCCAATGACATCTGAAGGGCCACAGGATAGCAACTCCTGCCATAAAGCCTTTAGAATTATAAAATAAAAAGGGGGGTTGTATGTGTGCATGCATGAACAAGTGCACCACGCTTATGGCTCTACATACCACAACTGCCATGTTTCCATGCACATATCGCTAAACTGGATTGCTATACAGTGGCAGACATGCTTTACCCCTTGGCGTGTCCCAAGGGAGGCTCTCATTTCTAGAGCAAAGTAAGTGTGCAGATGTGAGGTGTTCTATACCCCTTGCCCAACTTTTATTTGTTCAACTTTCCTCATCTAGGTGAGTGCCTTTCATTCCATCAGAGACAGATTTTTGCAATGGAGCTCATTCCGCTGCACTGGGCGCCAACACAAGAGGGCACTGCAGGACTTTCCAAGTATAACTCCTCTCCCCTCTCCTTGGGAATCCTCTGGGCAGCCACTGGTCTCTGAGCTGCCCTCCCCCCCCCTCCAAAGAGAGGTACCTCCTCACACTGCCCCAAAGCGGCCTGGGAAGAACCCCCTGGTCAGCCCCAGAGGCACCATTCACCTGGAGAACTTGTAGCCAGGGCTGCTGCAACAAACAGCTGTGCAAGTCTTTGGTACGCAGACATGCAAGAGGGCATCAGAGGAGGGAGGGAAGGAAAGAGAGACAGAGGCCAGAGTTATCCGCAGCACCCCTGACTATCATTCAAGACACCCCAGGGTGCCACGGCACACTGGTTGAAAACCACTGACATAGTAAATTGAGCAGAAGGCGAGGTGGGGGGCACCAAATTTACCTAATGGGTCTGTTGACATCATGTCTCATACTTAGCTCACTAAACTAGAAAATCTGGATGTTCACTACTATCTTTGAGGAAAAGTTTTGACCACTGTGATGCTGCAATCCAGATAATCTCTTTATTTCAGGTGAAACTGACACATAGTGCTGGAACATTGTGTAAATGCAACTTGCCCCACCCCAACAAAAGTGTTAAGTAAATAGGTTTTATTATACTGACATCTAGTGGATTCCTAAAGCACATAGAACTACTGTGTGGTGTGATCCTATGTATGCTTTATCAGAAGTCCCTCTGTGTTGAGTAAGGCTTACTTCTTTGTAAATTCATTTAGAATTGCAGCCTAAGATCAGCTTCTAAAGCCATGCTTTATTTAATGGACCAAGATGGGTAAATGGCTGTATAATGTGCAGCGAAATCTTCCAGCAATTATCCATCTATTTTATTGCATATATATACTGTATTTCAGGGATGCCATCTCACCCTCAGGATTGTGGGTGCCCGCTGCCGCCATGCAGATGTGTGATGTTACACGCATATACCTGCACGTAGTGTGTGTGATGTCACATGTACTATGTCCAGGCGTTGAAAAGAACTAAAGAAAACAGTTAAGCATTTAAACCACCAAGCGTCACAGCCTGAAAGGACAAAAAAGGGATAATTAAATATTAACTCATACCTTCTCAAAGCACACACCTTAATGTGCCTCTAATTCAACTCAATCACACACAGCATTCGAAACTCCCATTGTTCTGGTCGCGTTTCACGAGCCGTTTCTGAGCTCTGGGCCCCGTACTGTACCTAAGATTTCAGATTAAAATGGCCACTGTTACTCAGAAATAAATTCCATCCAAGTTCAATGGGGCTTCCTCCCAAGTAAAATATGCATGGATTGGGGACCTGAAAAACTTTCTTTTTGCTTTTCAACCCAAAATGTTTTGTTTAGGTTTTAGTTGCCCTGTTTAATGTACTTTTAATGTATAGTGTGCTTTTAATCTGAAATATACTAGTCAGTGAGTTATGATGCTTTAAGTAGTGCATGTTAAAGTGTTCTCTACCTAAGACTCTCACAGGGATGCTTAAAATCTAAATAAATTGGGATCACTGAAGGACCCTTAAGTCTTAGGTTTGCAAACTGGACACTGGCACCAGCTGTATAGGTCTTTGTGTTAACTGTGGTGCCAAAAATGTTATTTTTTTATGAAGGAAAGGGGGTGTAGGAATAATCCAGGGCTTGTCTGCAGAGTGGAAGGAAAGGGGGCCTTTTCTGTCTCCCTACTTCCAGCTACTCTGAGTACATAGCTGTCAAGTGTCCCTTATTTGAAGGGACAGTCCCTTATACCAGCGCCATGTCCCGCTGGTGTCCCTTATTGATGGATGTCCCTTAAATTTCAAAGCAGCTCCTCTCCCTCCCTCCCTGCTGGCCAACTGTGTTGCTTGGCTGTGTTGCTCACCCAATTAAGAAGTCTAAGAACAACTGGGGGGTGGAGCTTGCATGCCTTGTGTGTGGCTAGTTAATGCAAGCTGAGGGGTTTTTTGAATGCTGGACGCCATTTTGTTGCACGTGCTGCTGCAAACTTTGCAGTGCAAAGCCAGGCCGGGGAGCCATCTTAAGTTGAGGCTGCATAGGCCTCGTGGTGCATGTGATTCAGATTCTATTCAGTTTAACCTCTGGTTACAAAGTTGGTTGGACAGTGTTCTCGAAGCTACCCAGCATGAGTTTGACCAGACTGCAGGAGGACAGGAAGACTGGAGTGCCTGGAACAGGTGAGGCTGCAGGTCCCTTATTTTCAAGGCTGCCGGTCCCTTATTTTCAAATCTGTAAGTTGACAGCTATGTGAGTAGCGGGGTGGGCAGGGGAAGGACTAGACACTGTGGAAAATGAACATAATATTTTAGCTGCAGTTCGTTCATTTTCAGCTTTGTAGTCTTTTTTTAAAAAATGCTTTTATTAAGTTTTCATTTCAAATACACCAACACCAACAAAATACACAAATATTTCAAATCTTTTTCAGCTTTGTATTCTTGCTATTAAAAAAGCGCGCCTAGACATTCCGTTCTGGCTCCTATTTAAGGTACCATTTCATATTTCAGTTTCTAACACTGAGAGGAAAATAAGTTCCTTGTCGTTTCCCCTTTAGACTCAACTCACCCGAAACGTGGTACGAGAGAAATGAAAACTCCCGTGCCAGCGACGAAAACAGCCGCTTCCTCCCTTAGGGAGCAACCACCGCTCCTTTGCCTTCTCCTCGCGAAGCCTCCCTTTTAAGGGGCGGACTTGGGGGCGGCGCTTAACCCCCGTCTCGCGCCTCCTTTCCCCTCGATCCCGCCCACCCCGCGCTCCTCCCGCCCAATCAGATGCCGGATCCGCAGCAGTGCCCGGCCGGGCCCGGCAGCGCCCTTACGCCGCCGCCGCCTTGGCCGGCAGCTTCTGAGGCGGGCGCGCCGTGACGGACGGACGGGACGGACCGTCACCGGGGGCACCGTCACCCCTCTCACGAAGATGAACATAATGGACTTCAATGTAAAGAAGCTGGCGGCCGACGCCGGCACGTTCCTCAGCCGCGCCGTGCAGGTAACGGAGAGGCGAAGGGCGACTGGAGCTGGCCTGGCTTCGCCTCAGCGGGGAGGAGGACAGGAGGGCGGCGGCTCCTCCGACCTGGCCCCCCTCCTCCTCCTCCCTGGAGCCGTTGAAACCGTTGGTTGCGCGCGCCGCCCTTATTTGTTTATTCAAAGGCAGAGCTGGAGGGGGGCCACACACCCCCTCCGCTATGTGGGGCCTGGCCGGGCCTTGTCACGGCTTGGCAGTCTGGTGGCGCCTCGTCCTCTCTCTCTCTCTCTCGCCCCACACCCCCGCGCACATCTAAGCCGCCGCCCATCCGCTGTCGCCTTTCTGCGGGGATGGAAGCCGAGAGTCTCCCTCCCTCCCTCCTTGGCCGGCCTTTGAGAGGCCTCAGGCCGGCTGTCTTCTCGGCGCCCGCGGCGGTGGGTGGGACGGGCCTGACCGCCTGTTACCGGCCTCAGGGGCTTGCGCAAGACCTCCCCCTCTCCTGGGTGTGGGTCTCTCTCTCTCTCTATTCCCCACCGCCGCCGCCCACTCCCTTCCCCTGGCCGGCTGTGCTAAGCCAACGGGGAAACGGGGCCTGCTCGAAATTTTGGGCATGGCCAGTGTTGCCTGTAGGCGAAGACTCGCAGCGGCCTAGTTTTTAGTGTTTGGCGTTTTATTACGTTTCTATATGTGTTGGAAGCCGCCCAGAGTGGCTGGGGAAACCCAGACAGATAGATGGGCGGGGGTATTATTATTAATAATAATAATTGATGGGTGGTGTGGTATTAATATTATTTTTATTTATTAGGGAGGGGTGTTAATAATATAATATAATATAATATAATATAATATAATATAATATAATATAATATAATATAATATACTAAACATAATAATGTTTTTTTGTACTACAACTCCCATCCTCCCTAGCTAGCAGGAACTGTGGTCAGGGATGATGGGAATTGTAGTGCAAAAGACCCAGCTGGAGACCCAAGTTTGGGGAAACCCTGCTCTAGGCCCTCTCATGTGCTATCCGTGGAAGCAGACATATGGGGAGCGGAGGAGGATTGTGTCTTGTGGCCTTAATCTCCACACCTTTACCCACATTTCTGAATGGTGTGGCGGGGAATTGGGGCTTTTAAAATGGGGTGTTGCTTCCAGCTTAGCCTTCAATCGGGCTTCCTGTCTTACGCAGTCATTTCTACAGAACATCAGTGCGATAGACCTCCCGCTACGTATTAAGAATTCACAACTTAATTCCAGGGTAGTGTTTCATATCTGACAGGATTTAATTAGAAATTACACAGTAACTACTTCCAGAAAGTGGAAATACATTAATCTCCCCCTCTCTCTGTGCTGCAAAGAGTGCCATTTCGTTGATCTGTTAAGTTCATTGAGCTAGTCTTGCCAAAACCTTTCCACACCTCCTGTCTTCTCTTGCCCTTGGAAGCTCCTATCAAACATGCAAGCTGACTAGAAGTGCCATGTTCTAAGGAAGCATATAGTTACCCGATGCTGAGGACAAACTGTGCATGTGGAAGTGGTGCTGTTGTCCTTGTGAGCTTCAGAGGCACATTTCAATTGGGCTAGATGAAGACAGGTGTTTGCCCAAGACCAACCACAGATTGATCGGAAGACAAAGTGCTGGGTGTGTGTTGCAAACAATAAAACTCTGCAAATGAATCTAACCTTTGCTTACCCACTAAACATTAATTTCCTTTGCATCAAAGATGTATCAGTTTTTCATTTGCCTCTTTCCAGCTCTCTTCACTCCTCTTTTTTCCAAATTAAAGGGTGAATAAAGGTATGAAGGACAGCTACTGTTCACCAGTACCTGGCAACCAGCTATCCTGTGCCTACCACCTTTTCTCTACTAGGCTGCAGTGTAGGCAGGAGTGAACCTTGTAGGCCTCCTTTGCATCCTTGTGCTAGCTCTGTTGTAGAGTCTCTTAAGCTAGAAAGGCCCCATGCTGAATGGCCACCTACTTTTGAACCTTCAAAAGCATGTTGTGATATGGCGGAAGATCTTATGACTAAAAAAGTGGGGCTGAGGTATAGAACGTGCAAATACTATTTTTCAAATCTTTGCTTTCTAGAGTTCTTCTAAAAAGTTAACACTTTAATTAGGAATTACTATTTAAGCAGCGATTGTTTCATAGATTAGTGATTTTGTGCTGTTCCTCTTTTCCATGTGAAGTTTCTGCATCTGTAGCCTTCACAAGTACTGAAGAGATGACAAGACAAACTATCTTCTAATTTAGAGATCTTATGATGCCTGTCTTGTGTGCCTTATGATGCCTTTAATGTGATTAGCGTTTCTGTGAAAAGGTTGTTTTTAATGTTTTTTCTCAGATTGGCTTGATTTCAAATAAATATATTGGTCTGAGTTAATCTGTTTCACTGGGTTTTTAACAACTCAGACCCATAAGTGGGTTAGAGAAATGAGTTGTCATAGTAATATTTTTAACCACAGTTATCCACTTTCCTGTTAGCTTCCTGTCTCTTGTACATTACTCCATAATTTTTGGGAGGAGTCAGTTGCATAATAGCTCCTAAGAACATTGGTCATGCATTTTTGACAGTGGCTACACATGCTCAGTTTCTTTTGTCAGTGCTATTTATAAGATAATCTTCCATCTTTTCTTCAAGGAGCTCAAGCTTTCTCTCAAGACAAAACTACCTTAGGGCTGTTGGGATGATAAATGGGAGAAAGTAGCCCTAAGTTAATTTTGTCTTGAGAGAAAGTGAGTGACCCAAACTCACCTAGAGAACTTCATGACTGAGTGGTGATTTGAACCAAGGTTTCCCAAATCCTAGCTCAACGCTCCTGCTACAATTGCACCATAATGTCATGAAAGTTCATCTGCCACTAGATAAAAGCAAATCAGGGTAGTTAACATCATCAATAACAAACAATATAACTGTTGTTGAAGACAGCATTAAATAGCCAACAGCTCTGTGAATTGTACTGAGAATCGTGGAAGCCTATGGAGTTCATATATTTGTGGTTCCAGTAACCCAAGTTAATGCCTAGTGTCTGTTGAGTTCCTGAAGTTTAAGAGCAAACTTCACATACAACACACTGCATAGTATATTCTTGGAGTAACCAGAACATGGATAACTATGACTAAGCTCCTTCTATGCAAGAGGGGTCTCTGTGCAGGTGTCTCAGCTGGTGGAAGATGTTCTATGCTGTTCTGATCCAGCTTTGTTTCCAAAGGTCTATGAGCAATCCCAAACTGTAAAACTTGTTCTTTAGGGGGAGAGCAATCCTATTCACAGCAACTTGAATGCTACCTCTCTGGAGAGATGAGCTACCTTACATCTGTCTTGTCAGGATCGAGTTTCTCTATGATCCTCATCCAGTCCATTACTGATGCTAAGTAATAATTCAGTATTTCCACTGAAGTTGGGACCAATGCAGTATGCAGCATAGCTAACCAGCAGCTCTTCTAGTATTAGCTAGTCAATAATAGATTTAGAAGAAAGTTGGAAGGCTTTTGTGTGGCCCTTCATCAATATACTCCTTTTAAAATAAAAACAAATGAAGTTATTTAATATGGTATCATATGCCATATGGTAGATGATACAATGCAGCCTTGTAGATAAAAGCAGGCATCATAGCACTATTCCATGTTTCCTCTGCCTGGGATATGGAAGTGCAGAAATCTGGAGGAAGTTTTGACATGGAAGGGGTGTGGCCTGGGGCAGTTGCTGCTTGCCCCAGTAAGTGACCAAAGTGTAAATTCTATTGACACTTCTTCATTTGTATTTGTAACCCTTTTAATTCTGTATTCTTTTAATAAGGCCACATTTGTACACTTGACCTCTATGTAAAGTTTTGTGTTTAAGATTTGACTGAAAATATTATTCTTTGTCTTATTTCAAGTGTTGCATTCCTCCTTTTTGAAGTACTAGTTAGACATCAAGCCAGTTGGTAGCTTCATTTTCATAGCAGTTTGAAGGAATAAAATGGGGAAATTTCTATTTCTTGGATAATATTTCTGTTATGACTTTTTAGTGTATTGATACTAATAAAAGTTGTATTTCTGGACTGTAACATGAAAAGTGATTTGTTTGTTTGTTTGTTTGTTTAACCAATGTAGTTTACAGAAGAAAAACTTGGGCAAGCAGAGAAGACTGAATTGGATGCTCACTTAGAAAATCTTCTGTGCAAAGCAGAATGTACTAAGCAATGGACAGAAAAGGTTATGAAGCAGACAGAGGTGCTATTGCAACCCAATCCAAGTAAGAAAAGCATGTTTTTATTTTGCTCTTGATGTTTGCCAGGTAACAATTTGTGCATGCTACATAGGACAGCCTTGTATTTATCCAACTGGAATTCATTCTGGTTTGGTTCCTGTGCTAGTTGTGGAAGAAGACAAGACCCTTCTACTGTAGGTAGCAAAAGCATGCAGTGGGCTGGAGTAATGTCTCTCAGCCAGTTTGCTTGGCAGAAAACAGCTTTTCCAACTTGCTAAGGTGTTACTGTAAGCCTCTTAATAGACTAGTATATATATTTTTTTGGTAAGTTGGTTACTTTTGGGGCCTATTTACAAGACTGACATAGCACAGTCTGCTAAGTGGAGCACAGCTAGAACTTTTCTGTTGTTGACTATGGAGAGGCTTGTATTTGTAAACCTTATCTTTTGTGGTGAGCTATGAAGCCTGGCTTCATGGAAAGCATTGGTTGCTGCTGCTTCAGTAACTGCAAAATGATCGGTAGCTTTATGACTTAAGAAAGTAAGTCTTTTGTTCTTAAAGACAGCTCTGTAGAATGATCTACCTCAGAACAAGTGGCTTTGTTCAGCTCTGACTTCCCATTTCAATCTGAAAACAAAATACAATTTATTGCGAACTGAAAAGTAAAATGATGATGATGATGGGGTACCTATTTGAACATGACTCCAGCTTTTACTTCACCCTAGCTAGTGTTGGGACATATATGTGTGCAGAGGGAGAAATTTGAACCCTGGTAAAGCGGTAACTAGTTTAGTGCAATAAAACCAATTTCAGATCTGGAGTTAATTCTCCACGTGTTCTTTACAAAGGTTTGAACAATATATTGAATGAATGTTGCTGGTTATACTTTAAATATAAATCCCTAGCTTTTTAAGAAAAAAATGGGTATAAAGTTGAATATTAATTATTTTTTAAAAATAAAAACAATATTCCATTAAGATACAATAACATCTGAAAGGAAAATAGCCTAGAATCAAATACCATCAATTGTTGTTGGCATCCATCTGTTTCAAAAGACAATGGAGTGTGCCTCTGGGGTGAAGTCAAACCACTGGAGTATCACAGCACCCACTGTGACTGCAGAGACCGGTAACTTGTCATACTATCTTATGCTGACTTCAATATTCTCATTGGCATTTGTTTTGTTTTCAAGCTTTGCTTTTGAACTTTGGTCTTTTGAGGCTCATCCTAATATGCTCAGTAAATGATTGCATGCTGGAAACTGTGTGGAATGCTTAATAAACAACAACCTAGCATCTGGTATCTTTTTTCCAGCTTTAATAACAAAAAATGCCTACTACCTTCTCTGTAGTTCATGTTTAAGGTTGAGAAACTACTTTCTAGGCCTACAGCTTTGAAAGAGTGGGTTAGAAATTTAATTATATAAGGTTGATATGCAGTCATAGGCTAGGTGGCCTTACTGTATATTGAATCTTTTCCTTGAGTCTGTGTGTGCGTTGAAGTTTCAGTCTTCTAATACTAGTTCATGGAAGAAGAGAGGTGAGAGGGTGTTCACTTGTTGCTCACTAAATTTTTTGTTGGTATTATTATTATTTATTAAATTTATAGTCTGACTATTGGGGGCATGTGTTTGTTAGTGGAGTAGATCCACATTAAGAAAATTCAGCAATCTTACAGTTTACTACTGCTGGTCTATGTTTTGCATTCCCTCAGGCTGTTGGGGAATATCTTTTCTGGAAATGTATAGGGGTGAGGTATTTTTTTAAGCAGACTCAAGACTCTCAGAACTATATAAAGCTGCTGATTTTCTTAAAAAGGAGCTTCACACTTCAGACAGCCCATCTGTTTGGAAATGGGAGGCTGTAATATGTCTCTTGAGTATTTGTATACTTAAATAGATTTCCTCATTTAAATCTTGAGTGACAATGAAATCTTTTAAAACTGACCTTTTTGCTGTATAGACAGGGATCCACAAACCTCCTTGACATGAAGGCTTCTATTTGTTGGGATATGAGTTCCCATATTCCATGTCAGAGAGGAGGATTTTTAAAAATGCTGCACTAAACCTTGTAACAGAGACTAACATAGCTTCTGCTGTTTCAGTTCCCGATGCAGTTTATGCTGCCTCTGTCCCCTGTCTCCTGGTGTGCACACAGCATTTTGAAGGGTCAGTGGTGACCACAAGTTGTGGCTGGGTAGTAAGTGAAGAAAAATATGTGCAAAAATAGGCCAAAATAACTGGAGCAGTGTGAGTTTAGGTGCTGTTAACCATGATAGGGTTTTTAAAAATCATTTTTCACATTTGCAAGTCATACATAAAAAGGATGTTGGATATTTTTTCTTCTTCAAAAAAGCTGTCTTCAAGCATCAGCACTTAACAGCATTATTTGAGATTTCAAATAACTGCTTTTTACATTGGCCAGTAACTTACAATTGGTTGTGTTATCTTTTGCTAGATGCTAGAATGGAAGAGTTTGTCTATGAAAAACTAGACCGCAAAGCTCCAAGTCGTATGAATAACCCAGAAATACTGGGCCAGCACATGATTGATGCTGGGAATGAGTTTGGTCCTGGAACAGCATATGGTAAGTAACAACTATTTCATATCAGTTGAGCATCCTGGAATAAGAGTTGTTGGTGTGGTAGCAACTTGTGCTGATTGCACTGTATACAATGTATACAGGATTGCAGTGGCATTTAATTAGGAATATATACAGGATGGCAGTCTTGAATTAATTAGAAACTAGGGGTGAGTGTTGCTTCTGTAAGGATGGTTTGTAACCTTATTCTGAAGCTATACGTGGACCAGGTTTGAGATCTTGAAACTGACTTGAAGAGCAAAATGCAGTATCAAAAGTAAAAGTTAGAGCATGCTATAAAACAATGCAAATACAAAACACCCTTAGTGACATCATGAAAAGTCACTATGTCAACATTTCGTGCTTTACGTTTCTGTAACTTTTAGATGGGTGGCTATGTTAACTCATACTGGAACGACTTTTCTGTTGCAGGAAATGCTCTCATTAAATGTGGAGAAACACAAAGACGAATTGGAGCAGCAGACAGAGAACTAATTCAGACATCGGCAATAAACTTCCTCACACCTCTGCGAAATTTTATAGAAGGAGATTATAAAACAATTACTGTAAGTTGTGAAATACGGTTCCTTAACTTTAAAGAAGTAGTTCCAAATGCATAAAGAAGTATCAGTTTGATTTTGTGTTATTAAGCATTATTCTTGAGGGATTCCTACTACAAAAAAGTGACCTAGAGGACTTTAACCATTATATAAGAGAGAGAGAATAGGAAGGGCCAAGTGGCTTATTCTTCTCTATTTTCTCTAAAGTGTTCCATGTACTCACATGCAATTTTCTTCAACTTTCGCAGAGGGAACGCAAATTATTACAAAATAAAAGACTAGACTTGGATGCTGCCAAAACAAGACTGAAAAAGGCTAAATTAGCAGAAGCTCGAGCTGCAGTAAGTAAAATTTATCTCCATAAATGTTCAGAATATTGTTGACTTGTTACGTGGTGTTCATGGTTCAACATGTGGCCCTTAAATCTTGAATTAACCAAGTGTCAATAAATATAGATATATAAATAGGGTTAACCAGAAATTCTTTCTGTCTTTCTTTCTCTGGCTGTGAACAGACTAGGAGCAGATCTGTGTTTGGTCTGCAGTGAGATTTTGTAAAGGGAAGCCTTGCCACTCTACGTCCCCAATCTTTCCCGCACCATGCAGCTTGGAAGCAAATAACGCTGGGTTGAAATCTAAATGGTTTCACAAAGGGTATTTCAATACCTAGGAACTTGGATTGCTTTAGGAAAGATCTCATAAATTCAGTTCCCAGGCACATCTTCAAGTAAGATTAGGGAAGGATACTAACTCTCTATTGACTGCAAGTCCAAGGTGCTTATCAGTGGGGAAGACACCTGACTACAACAATGGTATACCAAACTTACATTTCAACTGATCACGGATACTATAGCTATGCTACATATGAGATACTTAAATAGATATGTATACATTAGCTTTGGAAAGGAAGTCTCAAAGTTGTGTGCCTGTGTTCATAATTTGTAGCTCATTGGCCACCTGAATGAAGAAAAATCCAGAGTTTGTAAAAGTATCTACCTGGTCACCTTGAAGCTCATTTTATTGACATAGGAAGCCAGATAAGGGACAATAGGAAAGCAGCGATAGGTATTGAACCCAGAAAGTAGGACTAGTATTCTACAAGTTTCCATTGACTACTTTAGAAGGCTATGCTCCAGGCATTTAATATAGTATGTTAGGTTAGACCTCGTGTTTTCAATTTTTTCAGACATTAATGTGTTTGGTAATATAATGGAGGCCGCATCTTCTATTCTCGTTCTCTGGCCTAATTGATTTGGTGAGCAATAGTGAGTATATGAAGCATCTTAAGGCTTTTAAACTTATTTCAAATAGTACTTGGTTCAACATGTGGAAATGATACTGGAAAAGAATACATGAAGCATAATGGTTTTGCTGTTTATTGTTTGCTTTTTTGTGTCTTGCGTCTCTGACATTGCAGTAGCACTTAATGATCAACAATTTATCTTCTTTCATAAAATAACATAATTTTGTTTTTATGCACTTTAAGCAACTAAACCTGTCTCCACCTGAAGAAAATAACATTATGGTAAATGTCTCATACATGCTCAACTTGGTGCATGTAAAATGGCTACAGGTTTGTTGGCCTCTTGTCTTCATAACATTTCTTCAAGTGTTTCCTCTTGCTTTCTGTTGATATGTACTGCCCATCCAAATTCCTTGAATGAGAGATTACACCAGATCAACATATTTACATCAGATCAACAGGTTTATATTGACTTCAACACTTCTGTGTACAGTCTTTGGGAAATAAAATAATATGTCAAACTAAATGTTGACTAAAACAGCAGACTAAATTATTTTATTACTTGAGTATGTTTTTATTTCAATGATATGAGGCTTTAGCAAATTGTCCAGTTATGTGGTGCTTATTTCCAAGCATAAGATCCAAAAGCTCAGCTTGTTGTGTGGGTTATCCAGTACAATTCTTTCTGCAGGGTATGCTTTTTGTCTTAATATGTCTGAAGCATGTCAGTCTTAAAATCAGAGAGATATTTGCATATTTGTCTAGAAACACTAAGGACATTTCTAAGCCTAATGGAAACACTAAGTAAAAGACTTTTGTATGGACTCAAGTTGTACTGGACTCTATTATTGCCTCAAACGGTTCACAAGGAAATATGTTCCTTGTTTACTATTTGAATGCCAACTTCCTTCCTCAGAATCCCCCTCTTCATTAACTGCAACTTTTCCTGTAATATCTGAAAAAAGAGAAGTTGCTCATTGTACTGAAATTTCGTCAACGAACAGATAATCCAGCGTAAATGAAATATGGAGTAAGAACTTCTGAGTTGCATTTGGAACTTTCCTCCAATTCAGCCTCATATGGAACACTGGGAACTGTAATTTAAGGATGCTGGAAATTGCTGTTCTGTGAGCAGTAATCTACAGTTCCCAGGATTCTTTGGGGTTAGCAGTGTTTTAAATGTATCATGAGTGCTCAGCCAAAGGCTGTCTAGAGTGAAGACTATATTAGTGGGAAAATGGGATAGAATTGTTCTATAACCATTCAAATGACCTAAAGGTCTAAATTATTGATTTGATCTGATAAAGACAGGCTTGGATGGCAAGAGAAATCACTGGTGTTTCCTCTATCATTGTATTAGCCGTTGTGATAGACTTTGCTTGTGTAGGGCACCTTTTCATAAAGATCATCCATGCATTCGTTCATAGTTCAGTCAAATTGTACCTTAGACTGTGGTCTTCGTTTGCTTTGAAAGTAATATGTTTTAGCTGGTTTCTTTTAAAACTATTCTACTTATTTCACACAATGGGTTGGATCTTGAGATCTTGTGGGCAGAGTTCTGCTCACAGAATGAAGTGTGGAGAGGTAGTGTTCTTAGCCTAGATCTACCCTACCCATGTGCTCTAGAGGAGCAATAGAATCAAGAGTTGGAATAGACCACAAGGGCCATCGAGTCCAACCCCCTGCCAAGCAGGAAAAATAGGAGGAGGAGCTGCAGGAAAAAGGGAGAATCAGGGTTGGGTGAGTTCCTTTCCATGAACAGGAACCGCCTTTCTGCAGACAGAATGACCCATTCCATCCATAGAAGGGGTACTCTGCATGTTAGACACTTTAAGGGTACTGTAGTAAGAAACTTTGTATCTAGCAGGCAGCTGCTTTCAGCTGAAGACTGTGTGGAGGGTAGAATATGCTTCATACCCCATTCTGGTTATAGCTAGCTTCTTCTGAGAATAGCTAGGAATAAAGATGTTACAAAAAGTCTTCAGCTCACCAGCCAGTTTCCTCTGCTGCTAAAGTCTTCTCTAATGCACTATTCTTGTCGTTTAATATAATGGAATTAGATAATAAATTTGGAAAATAGGTATGCACACCTAAAATACAGTATTACATTGGTAATACCTGTGTGAGCCATAATAAAATTCACTAGTTAGAACCTTAACTAGTATACAAGCAAAGATGCAGCTCTGTTTGTTATCAAGCACGTTACAAACACTGTAGGTAAAGTGAATAAGGAAATCAATACAGGAAATATGTGAAAGAACACTGAGTGCAAGTTCACCAGACAAATTCTTCATACTGTTGTTTCTCCACTTCTTTATGCATACAAGGTTTGGGCAGAGGAAGTAACAAAAGTAAGTAATCTAACTGAAGCTGTTGGTTATGAAATAACGTAATGTTGAGATCTGATTCAGCATGGATCTTGTCCCTGATATCAAAGGGTTGCTATTGATTATATGCAATTTGAAGTGGCAATGGCAAAATGATGCACATAACATGTGGGAAATAAATCTACCAGAAAAGAGGGGTGGGCGTTTATGAAGATGTTAAAACATGTTTTTCTTCTTCTTCTGAATATGACAAAAACTTTAATAACACATGGTAATTCTCTGATCCTCAATCCAGGCTACTACCCATCTGACATGCCTGAAACTAGTAGCTCAACACAATTTCTCATCAGAGCAAACAATGTTCCCATTCTGTTTATAGAAACATATGAAACTGTAAAATATTAAACATCCCACCATGTATGCAAGCAAATCCTATGAATCTTCTTCATAACTTGTTTTCTTACTTGCATTGCCCTATTTTTTGTTGTTGTTTAGAAAGGTGCATTTTAGGTCCAAATCTCAAATGTCGCTGCTTAAGACTACTTAATGTTCACATGAATACTTATTATTGAACTCAATAGCTGCATTACTAAGCATTTACTATTTACCTTATGTTTTCCCGTTCTCTAAAGAGCTTTGAAACTATAATTACTCAGAATATTGCCTAGTTTTATATTCTGCAGTCAGAATAAACAACATACATGGAAGAAACAAGTAGCCATCATTTCAGCTATTAATATACAATTAAAATTATGTATGGGCCTTTTCTTATCATGCATTGCTGTATTTCCCTGTATAATGAAATGAAAATACAGCTATTACAGTCAAGTTAAAAGTAGGCTTAGTAAAAAGTACTCTGTACAAAAATGGAAAACCACCACAAATAAAGCTAGGAAGTCTAGACGCCTGGCAGAATATGCCATAGGATCATGAACAATGGATGTTAGATGTTGTGGGTTTATTCCATACAAATACAGTGGTACCTCAGGTTAAGTACTTAATTCCTTCTGGAGGTCTGTACTTAACCTGAAGCTGTTCTTAACATGAAGCACCACTTTAGCTAATGGGGCCTCCTGCTGCCGCCGCGCCACAATTTCTGTTCTCATCCTGAAGCAAAGTTCTTAACCTGAAGCACTATTTCTGGGTTAGCGGAGTCTGTAACCTGAAGCATATGTAACCTGAAGCGTATGTAACCCGAGGTACCACTGTACTGCAGGACAAGATTGATTGAACAGTATTTCTCCTGCTTAAAGGAGGCTCTCCATGATAATCTTTGAAGCTGGAACAGTTGGCTAGCCCTTCATGTTAGTAAGCAGTGTTTTGCCTTGAGCAGAGATGGCGAGCTCTGGTAGATGCATTGTGCTAATTCTTTTCATCATGATAAGTGGCTTGCTTGAGGGTTTTTAAAATCACTTTCTCGGTGTCAATTTACAAGCTTCCTAACAGGTTTTGACATCAAGTGAGAAATGCAATGCTGTAGGTGTTTTGGAACGGCTCTTCAATACCGTGAAATAGTAGAATATACTGACTATCCCCTACCACTTACTGAAATATAAATTGAATGATGGGACTAGGTGTGACAATGGATTACTTGTAGGCAAAGCACTGTGGTGCAATCCACATTAATTTCAAGCAAATCTAAGTGCACAGTTAAAGCTCTTACATTGATTTTTAGTGGCATTTGCTCTTATTTTCTCCACCCTAGCAGCATAATTAATTTTATGTATCAAATTCTAAGTGAAATATATCTTACAGTCTGAACAGGAAGTCAGAATAGCCCAGAGTGAGTTTGACCGTCAAGCAGAAATTACTAGACTTCTGTTGGAAGGCATCAGCAGTACACATGTAAGTACTAAGTAGAAGAAAATACGCATCCCATAATAGTTTGTAGAAGACTACGTAATCTTATACAACTAGAAATAATTTCTAAAAGTTGGTGTGATACATGTATAAGAACTATTGAGGATGAGAAAATCAAGTGATTGTACAAGCACTATGACAATATTTCAATTACCTCTATCCAAAGAGCACTGGAGACTCATAGAGTTATTTTAGTTATGGAGGTTGAGGTAAAAGCTTCTCTCTCCTGACTAAAGGCATCTGGCAAAATAAACAATAACCAATGAAAAATCATGCCCTGAAGTTAGAATCATAGGGTTGGAACTCCCCATGTCCAATCTCAGTGCAGGGTCTGCTATGCAGGTTGCATCTATGACAAACGGCTATCCAAGTTCTGTCTAAATATCACTGACAAAGGAGACACCACCATTTTCTGTTCTATCATTGAACACTACTACTAATGTTCGACCAAAACCTGCTTCCCTGCTATTTTCACCATTGCTAATAGTTCTGCTGTCTAGAGTAGCAGGCAATAAGTTTGCAGGATGGCCCATCAGATATTTTGAAGAACACTATCCTATCAGTTTTTAAGGTCAGTCTCTCCCGTTTTTATATTTAAAAAGGTTCACAGATAGGATAGTTCAAGTCCAGCATGTCAGTCTTTGGCTATGTTCCTAAGCACTTTATTTGAGATAGTTACTGAAATTGGACATTTTTGTTGGGGCATATTGGAAGCAACCTTTAATATAAACACAGTTATCTGGAATCACCATGAATTCATGTCAAACTTGCAATCTGACTAGAACTCTCTAATTGTTGCAAGCTAGTTAATGCAACACAGTATGCACAGTTCTGTACTGATATTTGAACTCCGCTGCATTCCAGGCACATCACCTTCGCTGTTTGAATGATTTTGTAGAAGCTCAGATGACGTATTATGCACAGTGTTACCAGTATATGTTGGACCTTCAGAAACAGCTTGGAAGGTAAGGAAATTATAGTCTTCATAGCTACTTTCCTAAATTGCATGTGCAGCGTTGCTAGAAGTACCTCTAATTGAAGGGTAACTTGGAGGACAGCTAAGTTGATGCTGCTTCACTTCATTGTTCTGACAGGCCAATTTAACTCCAGAAGTTGCTACAGTGATCAGATAAGGAAGAGAAATTAGTGGAAGTAATAGTCTCTTTAATAACCCTCCTTCGGTGACTTTTTAGACATCTGAGGAAATGGTCTGACATATCACAGTAACAGGTCAGCAGGTATAACATATGGATGGCAGAAGAGAGAGCTATGAATAAGTGCTGTGGGCTTGAATTGCTCACAGGCTTGCACTGAAGTACAGCTAGGCTTCTCCTGGTGTATTTGGATGGATGCAGCAAGCCCAGCAAAAGAGGTAAAATGCTTTACAGCAAATAAAAAAATGCTGCCTACTTTCTAGGCAGAGGGAGTTCAGAACATTTCTTGAAATTCACAGCAACTGTGCTGCTTGGATAATTACTTCCATGTTAGCAAACAGTTGTCACATTCACTAAAAGCCAGTCACTAATGGGCAGCTGCATCTTGGCCTACTAAAAGAAGGCCTTGACCTGGTTCGAAAATATTTCTGGGAGCTTGCCAGAGAAAACAGCAGCTTACAAAGTGCACAAAGCTACTATATAGATAGAGATGGGGTGTGTGTAAAAAAATAGAGAGAAAATCTTACTGCAGAAAGTCATAGGTTTAAAGCAGCAGATGAATATGTAAACTGTAAACTTGTAGTCACTTTCATTTTCAGAATAACTGCATGAAGTCATTCAGTGTTTAGATATATCAGTTTGCCTGATCAAAGTATCTTAATCCTCTTTTCCCTTAGTAGCCTAAAGCTTGGTCTTCTTTTGGAATGTGTTTCTCTGTAGCTAATGATTTCTTTGCCAGAAAAGCCTTTTAGAATTAACTGTAGTTATTCCAGCAACAATTTCCTGTTCTTGAAAGTGGACAGTCTTCTGCAGTTTGAATGTGTTGTCTTAAGGAATATGGTAATTAAGAAAAGATGTTCAGTGCTTAGCAGTGTTGGATGTTCATGTGCTTGTGTATCGTGATAAGCCTTTATGGCTTATATGAGTCCTCTTTTGTTAAGACATAAACAGTTCAAATTTTTCAAAGCTAACTTTGTAGACTTTTTATAATTCAAAAGAATCAGTCGTGGGCATGTTGCATGTGTGCCTTCAAATCCTTACTACCATTTAGAAAAATTGAGTTGAAGAAGGTTGGTGACAAGGCAAGATTCAGAGGGACTTTACTTTGTATCCAGTTGTATCATTGTAAATAGAAAAGATGTTCATTATTGATTCCTCTAGTTTGGTATAATTTCACATCATGGCTAGCCTGCTGAGGTACTTGATCTAACTGCTTGTGGTCTTGGGGCTGTGAAAGCATTTCTGCATAGAAATTCCCTCCCTTGCACATGCCAGTACTCTATAATCTCCCAGCTCCCTGTTGTCTGTTCCACTAGTGTGGAATATTTCTCTTCCACAACCTGTAAAAATGATTGTTTCAATACAATTTGTTTTACAGCTGGAATAAAATGGCTTCTTGTTGGTTTTTCCCTATCTTGTTGGACTTTACCTTTGCCCAACTTTTTGCTCTGCTGAGCTCTACAAAGCCCCTGTTGGTTTTTGTGCCCCAGGACTTCTTAAAAGAACCTGATCTACACAGTATATGTTTCTCTAAAGTGCAAATAGATCCAGGAATGCCCCTTGAATGCTGTTTCTTGTAACACAATGGAGCCATATTAGGATTTTCCACGATGTATTCTTCATTGTTAAAGTTGATAGGGCAGGTTCTTGAGAATGGATTTCTGGAAAGGTTCTGAACAGGTCCAGTAACTTGTAATAAAGGTAGGATACAGGGGCACCCTTTTTTTCTGAATCGAGAAACAAATTAGGGATGACTACGTCTAAAGACCTATCCGTTCTTAAGGAATTCAGCCCTGAGTGCTCACTGGAAGGACAGATCGTGAGGCTGAGGCTCCAATACTTTGGCCACCTCATGAGAAGAGAAGAGAAGAGAAGAGAAGAGAAGAGAAGACTCCCTGGAAAAGACCCTGATGTTGGGAAAAATTGAGGGCACAAGGAGAAGGGGACGACAGAGGACGAGATGTTTGGACAGTGTTCTTGAAGCTACCAGCATGAATTTGACCAAACTGCGGGAGGCAGTGGAAGACAGGAGTGCCTGGTGTGCTCTGGTCCATGGGGTCACGAAAAGTCGGACACGACGAAACGACTAAACAACAACAACGTCTAAAGAAGCATATAAGTGTACATCTCTCTTGCAATGTCCTTCACACCCCCCCCCGCCCCCAGGCATTATTTATAGGCTTCCTTTGTGAGTTGTGGATCATGGGATCATGTTTGCAACTGTGCTTTGCTCACCTTGTCATAAGAGGTTTCTGTTGGAAGATAAGGAGACGCCAGAGGTGGCATTTAACTAAAATGAAAGTATATGAATTGCTAATAGTAAGTGATAGATCTGGGTCATGAAATGCTCATGGTAACATTAGTATGTACCTTTCAGTACTATATTTTGTGTTTCACAGCTTTCCATCTACGTTCCTTGCCAACAATCACCAGTCTTCGTCAAGCTGTGCTCCAAGTAGTTCCGTTACTACTACAGCTGCCTCCTCTGCCTCTGTTACAGCCTCATTGTCCTCAATAAGCAATGCAGCAGCTACATCCAGCTTGGGTGACGTGAAGTCCGCAAGCGGCAACAGAAAAGCCAGAGTTCTTTATGATTATGATGCTGCAAATAGCAGTGAATTATCACTTCTTGCAGATGAGGTACACTTTTTCTATTCTTGCTTTTAAATAGAAATAAACCAATTTAATGTTTTGCTAGCTAAATGCAAAAGCCAATTCTCTGGTGTTACATCATCCAAGGCAGTAAACATACATAAGTATCCATTTGACCCTTGCAATGTACCAGGAATTAGTAATGAGGAAAGAGTGGCTTCTTAGGGAAAGTTTCTGATATTACCAGGCATAGGCAAACTCGCCCTCCAGATGTTTTGGGACTACAGCTCCCATCATCCCTAGCTAACAGGACCAGTGGTCAGGGATTATGGGAATTCTAGTCTCAAAACATCTGGAGGGTTGAGTTTGCTATAGGATTACTTGGATGTTTCAGTCCCTGATTATCTTGCATGTAGCTATGCATTAACAATAGATTAACTTGTTAAATATTCATTTTTGTGTAAAGCTATTTTACGTGTACACCTCTTTTGGAGATACTGCTGGGATTGCAAAATCTTTCAGCCTCCTGACTTGCCTATATATTTTGGAAAGTTGTTTCACTATGCATTTGGACCCCTCTTAGGATATCGTACAGTGGTACCTCGCAAGACGAATGCCTCGCAAGACAAAAAAACTCGCTAGACGAAAGGGTTTTTTGTTTTTTGAGCTGCTTCGCAAGACGATTTCCCCTATGGGCTTGCTTCGCAAGTCGGAAACGTCTTGCAAGTTTGTTTCCTTTTTCTTAACACCGTTAATACAGTTGCGACTTGACTTCGAGGAGCAACTCATAGAACGCAGTGTGGTAGCCTTTTTTGAGGTTTCTAAAGCTTTTTGAGGTTTTTGAAGCTTTTCCAAAACTTTCCCGACACCGTGCTTCGCAAGACGAAAAAAATCGCAAGACAACAAAACTCGCGGAACGAATTAATTTCGTCTTGCGAGGCACCACTGTAACTAAGTTTTGCATGATGGTTCCTGAGATCAAGAAGCAGGTTTTCATCTATGTTTGGCTACAGATGGCAGAAAACTTCCAAAACTACACTGATTTTTTTTGGGGGGGTGTGCCTTTTAGCGTTCTTGGATATTTTTTTGACGTAAAGTGTTCTTTCTACTTGTCACTATACAATGCTCCAGGACACCAAGTACACACTACTTCACCCATTATTTTATTTTACTTCTTAATATTTATATACAACCCAATAACAAAAGTTCTCCGGGAATTTATCAGTAAACAAATAAAACCATGACGTGCAAAAATGCAACCTAAAACTAGCAGCAGCAGGAATAACATCCCATAATACTTCTGTTCCGCATTTGTAAGAAACAGTGTGGCAGCATCTAAACTTTGAAACTCCCTGCCGATTGACAGCAGGCAGGTGCCTTCACTGCATTCTTTTCAGTGTGTGAGTATGTCATTCATATACCCAGATATGTGAATGTTGATGTGTGTTTTAATTTGTTTCAATTTATTGCTGTTTTTTTCATGTTTAGATAATAGTTTTTAACAATTTTTTACTGATTTTTTTTGTTTTATTCCCTTTGTAAACCTCATGGAGGTTTTTAACAATCAAGTAGTGTATCAATTTTATTAAATAAATAAAAGTACTAACACATATTTAGAGTGAACACTAGGCAGCAGCCCAGGTTTCTAGGCTAGTGCCTACTTGCAAAGTAGGAGAATTCACAAAATTTTCAGAAACAGATTATCATGACACAGGCATAAGAAATAAACACTGCTTTTTGTTTTTGTTTTAGGTAATAACAGTGTACAGTATGCCTGGCATGGATTCAGACTGGTTGATGGGCGAACGAGGAAATCAGAAGGGCAAAGTGCCTATTACTTACTTAGAACTGTTAAACTGAATAACTGGCTTGTATAAAGACTGCCAGTTATGGTGAGACCATATTTATATGCAATTAACTTTATATAAAACAGGTTTAAGTGTCTTCCATGTTAACATCTTAAAGGATGTGAATACCAGCCATTAGAAATGGGCTTTTATGCCAATATTCTTGCATGGTAGATACTCTTTTCAGATCTAAGTTGTTTAAAAGCTTTTACTTTATGTGCCAAGACTGTTTCTACAGAATTTTGTTTCTACTGGAATTTTCACTAATAACAAACTTCTGCTTTTGAGTAATCTAAACTGAAAATGGGAGGTATTGTTTTCTACAGAACTTTTCATAATGGCAAGCTTCTTCACCAACAATAAAATTGTTAAACAGTAATTTCTTTTGCTAAACAAATATTTGATGTTTAATGTCTTAAAGGGCTATGATTATAGTTATGCAGCTGAAGATTACACTTTTACTGAAAACATTAAATAGAATTCTGAAAGGAAATGCACAGCATAAAAAGAGCCCTACTAGAGGGATCAGATTAAGGCGTGTTAAATTGAGTTTTCTGTACTCACAGTAGCCAACCAGATGTCTATGGGCAGCACAAAAGCTGTTTGTGATTAACCAGCGACTGGAATTCAGAGACAATTTGCCTCCCAATTTTGGAGGTAGCTCAAAACTTAGTTCCATTTTAAAATATACTTTAAAAATCGATAACTCCAAATTTGTCCAGGTGGCATTATTCCAAATAATAGCTAATAGAACTATGGTGATCCCCATCAGAACACAAATGGTGTAAATACCACAACTCCTTTACAGGTTTTGTTGTTGTTACCATCACAGATGAAAATATCAAGACCACAAATTGTGCATTCACCAACATAACCTTTCATTATTTATGTATTTTGAAAAACTTTGATTTGAAAATAGTTCTTGATTTTATTTATTCACAAAATGTATTGTGTTCAGTCGTGTTAAAGAGCAACAGCATACAGCTGTCATGAGTGGTTTGGAGAGGAACAGTGAATATTAAGTTTTATTAAATACCATGATTTGGAAAAGAAGACTTCCAACATTTGAAGAACATCGGCTAATACAGTTGGTAATCAAATCCTGTGATGTCATCAGCTGTATCCAGTGTTGGTCCTACTCAGAGTAGGCCCATGGAAATTGATGGACATAACTGACTTAGGTGCATTAATTTCAATGGGTCTACTTTGAGAAGAGTTGAATGGAAACCTCGTATGATTAGAGGTGAGAGTTCCGTGTTATCTGGGACTGCAAGATATATGCTTCTTAGCTAAGCCTTCTGAAAAGCAATCCACTGACTGATGAGTGTGAGAGATAGTCCTGAGCTTGGTATATAGGGAGGGAAACTAACTGCTTGGCTTATTGACTGATGAATTACTTCCATGTATGAATTTGCCAGCGGTGATGGAAGGAACTAAATACTGATCCCAGAGTGGAGAGACCTGCCTGTATATTCCAGTAATTGGGGCAGAGGGAGAGGAGCAGCCGTTGCACATTTCAGCTGTAGTTCAAAGCGTGAAAGACTTTTCCTCAAAAAAGTAAGAACCTGAGAAAAGATTCTGAATATTCAAGTAAGTTCTGTACATTGAGGGATATCAGAAATTGAATTTGCACATGCTACTGTACACTACTGGGCATTTTGACAGGAGGCATGCAGGAGTCAGAAAATGAAGAACAACGGAGGTCAGAAAGCTGGCTGAGTTATCCTTTCAGTAGTTCAAGGAGAGTATTCTGTAGTCTGCGTTTCTCCATGACTAGCAGAAGCAGAATAAACTAAAACATGAAACTGCCTGACCTGCAACCTGTATAGATTATTCAGAATCCAGCTCTTCTTAATGCAGAATTTTGATAATATTTTTAATACCTAGTACAGCTCTGTACATAATCTGTCCTTGGAATACCATTTTTTTTGTGCCATTTTGGTAAAAACGCACAAACTTTCCTATGTGAGGCGAAAAAACACAGCCTATGACTAATGTGTTGGAAGAGAGTTTGGACAGCAAGAAGGGAATCCCAGTTTGTAGCACCTGTACTGGGGCTGCACACACACTCCCTCACCCACTAGCCGTGGAGCGGCTAAAAAGGTTTTGAGTATCTGCAATTTTTGTGTGTACATGGAACCCTTAGAACCAAACCCCTATGTAAGGTGCAGGATTACTGTATACTGAAAGCTCAGCAGCTAATGGCAGTGTTCCCAGCTGCTCTTTGTTTATATTTGCTTTTTGGAATAAATATTGCCAATTTATTAGGGACAATATAGGGTACAATTGCAAATGCAGTGAAATCTTTTTCCAGGGTCTATGACATGATTGCATTTGCGGCTTTTGCTGTCAGTGAGAGAACACTGTTTGGGGCTGCGATGCCCTTGCTTTCCTCTAGCTATTTGTCAGATTGTTTGGCAACCTTCACAGCACACTTCAAGGCAGCAGAAAACTTTTAATGAATTTTCACCTAACGCTTGTGGAAAAGTTAAAAATACTTTTCTTGATTGTCTACTTGTGAACCAGGTGTGCTGTACAAGGACTGGGAAGGGCAAGCTGGTAAGCCCTGAATGATTACCTGCTTATATCAAACTGGATATTGGTGTTCTCCTTGGCTACTTAAAATAAATTGAATTGTGAACTGAGGCTCTCAATGACACATGTATCTTGAATATGTGGTACCACACCCAGCTGAGCTATGAAACCAGTATTGGAGCTTTAGGAACAAGTATATAAAAGGAAGACTCTGTGTATGCCTCATCTGCAGGACGTATTCTCCCTTGTATCTAACCAAGTGGCTGGACTACTGGGACCAAGATCACACACTTGTATGCACTTAATATCTTTACACTTCATATGTCGAACAGATGATTTTAGACATAATATATTAAGTCATGGAAAGAGGTAAATGTTCCTATTTTGAAAAGTTGAATGTACTCTTCTGCATTCAGGAAGAGATACTAAAATAGCTTCATACATAATTTGCCATTCAGAAGAATTCAAAATGAAGAAAGACCTATACTTACAAGAAATTGAAAAAGAGGAAGAATGGGGAAGGGATGTACCTATAGAGGGGACCTCAAATATATTGTGTCACATATGAGGTCTTACCAAAAGAATTCTAGTACCTGCCACCTGTTCTACCTTTTCCAGGTCTGTTGCACGAGAAGGGAAAATTATGATCTGTATCCACACAGTACATCGCTGGGATCGAAAGCATTCTCCTGGCATGCAGTGGCATGAACACCACACTTCCCATTTCCATTCATGGCAGTAGTTTTGCACTATATGGAATATTGGTTGAGAAGTTCCCCAGTCTTTCAGTGGGGAGGCGTGTTGTGGAATACTCTGTGCCCAAGTTGTGAAATGCCTCTGCAGTTCTTTGGTCCCATACCCATACCTGACCTTGAATAATTTAGCTTTCTTGTACTTAATGAATCCAGAAGTATTTTTAGAAGGATTTAAAAAGAAACTTCTGAAATGACTGCTCATGGTCTAACTACTTTGCACGCCATGGGGTGCAATAAAAGTCTTGCCACTCTTGCTTAGCATCTTAGGCTGTGTTAATAGCTTCTGCTTTTGTTCAGACTTGATTGCGACTAAAGGAAACAATTATAGGCGGCCCATTGTTCCTAGAGAACTTTGTCAAGGCTGTGTCCTGCTTTCTGCATGGCATACCACACAAGAATGGGAGGGTGGCATGATTGCATATTGCCAAGGGAAGAAATAGCGTCAGATTGCACCACTGCTAGCACATTTCAAGCAGTGAAGCCAAACTGTTAAGAGTGATGTCAACAGTTAACCTGTTATTTTGCTAGTCAGTACTACATTGAAGGTGTTTCTTTGACTTCAGTTGTAAACAGTAACTAAACCCAGCAAATGGCAGGATTGTGCACTATGCACAAGGTTTTATGTTCATAGAGAACAGGAAGGTTACAGTTGGCCTGTACGTGTACCTTCTTCCTCCACTGTTTTGCAGTCATTGCTATTTTGCAGCTGGGATATTTTGGGCCAAACCAAAAAACAATGTGTGGTGATCACATGCACAAGTTTTCCCCCATTTTCCCCATGGAATTCCTCTGCCCGCCCCCACCCCCAAAACAAACATTTTTGGAAGAAATCACACTGCTGCCACATACACTGACTGGCTTTCATCTGGGCTCAGCAGATTCATGGTGCAGGTATGTCACAACCCTCACCCTCTCTGATCACCCATTTCTGATCATAGAATCATAGAGTTGGAATAGACCACAAGGGCCATCGAGTCCAACCCCCTGCCAAGCAGGAAACACCATCAGAGCACTCCTGACCTCTTTCTGCTGTTTAATGATGTGGAGGTGATGGCAGCTGGTCGGAGGTGAAAAAACCTGCCCTGAACAATGGAGCCAGTTGTGGGCAGAAGCGCAACCAGAATTGGAATAATTAGCTGGGAAATTGCTGCTTCTAAAGGAGAATCTGCATGTAAACTGTTTCTGGAAATAAGGGTGGTGGTCCCCCCCCTTTTCAGTGCAGGTTCTCTGAATGCAACTATTCAAGGGACTAATTCAGAAATCAAGCTCTAGTCTGGCAAGCATGCAGGGTGGGGTAGATCCCTGGAGAGAGATTTTGGACAGTGGGGAAAGAAATACCCATTAGCTTATATAGCTCGTCACTTTCTGTAGTTCAGCGTTGAGGAACCTGTGACCCTCCAGATGTTGCTAGACTAGAGCTCCCATCATCATTGGCCATGCTGGCTGGAGCTGATGAGAGTTGGAATCCAACATCTGGAAGGCCAAGGTTCTCCATCACTGTTCCTCTCCTTACTAATTATTCTTCTGCTCCAAGCACTGTTGGGGAAGCTACAAACCTGCCTCAGTTCCCATCTGCCAGATGATAGTACAATGCACTGGTGTGGGTAGAGATGCACCTCTATAATTTTAGATTCTTCACTCTTTCATTGCCCAACACACGCCACTCAAGCCCCCTGGTCACCATTGATTTATGAATTCTGGTTCTTTCATATTTAAAGAAAAGCCACCTCCCATATGTATCTTTATTTCTTAGAGCTGCCAAAGGAGTCTTTATGTACTAGGGCAGGCTTTCTCAACCTTGGATCCCTGGATGTTGTTGGACTACAACTCCCATCATTCCTGGCCAGCATGGCCAGTGGGGGATGCTGGGGACCCAAGGTTGAGAAAGGCTGTCCTAGGATTTACATCCTATCCTTCACTCAGATGCAGCTATTGAGCACCTGCACTGTGTTATCAACATCACTTACATTATGTGGAAGGAGCCCAGAAAGAAAATTAATCTGAGAACACTTCAGTGAAGCTGACAAAAGCAGTGTATAGTCTGAGGAGAAGTTGGAACAGAGGGTTCCTCCCACCCCTTCAGGCCTTGTACGTAGCAGGGAGACATTCAACCACACATACGGAAGAAAAAGTCCCTCCAAACTATACAGCCATCATAGCATGTTCTACCTCAGCAAACATCATGCCACTCTACCTGGTTGCTAAGCAACGCACTCACCCATCTCCTCCTTGGCTGGTTGACTGACTGACTGACTGATAATGGAATGAACCTTTATGTTGCAAACTGAACAATCTTTGCTGTTGCACTTCCAAAACGCAGTAGAATGCACCCCACAAAGAATGCACTCCTCATTCTTCTTGCCTGTGAAAATGTAGCTATGTTGAAAGCTACTGAACAGCCTGATTTAAACTTTTTCTCAGCCATTTAGTTAGTCTTGCTGTTCTCTAGCTATTGTAGGATTCACTGACGGCTTGGATCCTAAAATAAGGGAAGGAAGTTGACAGAGCATTTCATTTTACTTACATCCCCTGAAGCCACATGAGGGGCCCCTCCTAAATAATGGGGAACCCTCTTAAACTAGGCAGGTTTAGGATGATTCCCTTCTCCCAGAGCAGCCCCACACACTCCATCCTATATTATTCAAGAGGCTCCCTTTATCCTCTGTACAGTTAGCGTCTTGTCCTGGATTTTAGGGTCTTCCTAAAAAAGGTCAATGCGGGTGGCGCTGTGGGTAAAAGCCTCAGCGCCTAGGGCTTGCCGATCGCATGGTCGGCGGTTCAAATCCCTGCGGTGGGGTGTGCTCCTGCTGCTCAGTCCCAGCGCCTGCCCACCTAGCAGTTCGAAAGCACCTCCGGGTGCAAGTAGATAAATAGGGACCGCTTACCAGTGGGAAGGTAAACGGCGTTCCGTGTGCTGCGCTGGCTCGCCATATGCAGCTTTGTCACGCTGGCCACGTGACCCGGAAGTGTCTTTGGACAGCGCTGGCCCCTGGCCTCTTGAGTGAGATGGGCGCACAAGCCCAGAGTCTGTCAAGACTGGCCTGTACGGGCAGGGGTACCTTTACCTTTACCTTTAAAAAAGGTCAACAACTTTCGGGGTGTCCTGGTTTTTTACTTTTTGAAATCTGGCTACATATTTCTTTCATCTATGCATGCTATTTAAGCTGCAAACACAGCCTGTGGTTCATCATACCACTTAGCTATTCAATGGGGACCCCAATATTAGGTTCTTTGCTTTGTCTTACGCCGGATGACGGATGATGTTCAGCTGGTTAGAATCACTGGAGAGGCGGGTCTCAGAATTCCCGACCCCAAGCACATCTCTAATGATGGGCTGCCTTAGCAACCATGTTTGCTAGAGGTCCCGTAGAGAGCCTAATAATAATAATAATAATAATAATAATAATAATAATAATAAATATTATTAATATTAATACCCCGCCCATCTGGCTGAGTCTCCCCAGCCACTCTGGGTGGGGAGTCAGTCAACCAGCCAATCAAGTGTTAAAAACAATACAGCATCAAATATTAAAAACTTCCCTAAACAGGGCTGCCTTCAGACATCTTTTAAAGAGAAGATAGCTGCGTATTTCCTTCACATCTGAAAGGAGGGCAGGCGCCACTACCGAGAAGGCCCTCTGTCTGGTTCCTTGTAACAGCCCTGGCAGCCCTCTGCTGCCACTACATCAACCTCCCACAACCTCCTTCCTTTTGGGAAGGAACTATATTTCCATAATAGAGCACCAACTTTGCAAAGGAGACAGTCCCAGCAGTGGCATAGCGTGGGGGGTGCAGGGGGGGCTGGCCGCACCGGGCGCAACATCTGGGGTTAGGGCAAATCCACGGGTTAGGGGGCGCAAATTACTTGCCTTGCCCCGGGTGCTGACAACCCACGCTACGCCACTGAGTCCCAGATTTGATCCCTGCCACCTCCAGTTAAAAAGGATCACTAAGCAGATGAGACTCTGGAGGGACACTGCTCAGCTACATGGACAGATACTCTGACCCAGATTGGGGCAATTTTTTTCTGTGTTCCCCTCCAGGGACCAGATCAACAACTGTCTTATCCTTGTGCAGTAGTAAGGAAAAAATCTCCAGTGTGTTTGTGGGCACATGCTTTCTGCACATTTATAGAGAAGGAGCATCTTTGGCAAATAACTACAATTTTAACTGATTAGTAAAGCAGGGCACAATGCACATGCTTAGAACTGTCTGGGAATAAGATCACTTCCCACTCAGTGCTCTTGCTTCAAGAGTCTGTAAGTGGGTTTAGTCATCTTTCCTTCTTTCTCTCTGCAAAAAACAAAACAGAAAACAGCTTGCAAACTGGTGCCAGGCACTTGGCCTGCGC